ATTATTTATTCTTTTGAGAATGCATCATTTTTGTAATAATAAAATATTCTTTATTTGTTCAATCTTCTTGCAATAATTATATACTTTCTTAATTTGGTATTCTGTTTCGTGTAATAATCATATGCTTCTTTAAATTTGGTAATTCTGCTTTGTGCAATAATTGTATGCTCCTTAATCTGGTAGTTTTGCCCAAGCCTTCATGCTCACTGATCCTGACGCGTAAAATCTGTTCCTTGAACGTGTCATATTATCGCAAAAGAAATTAGTCACTTACTTTATAACTTTTATTCAGTTTTTAAATATAATAAAACAGATCATAAGTAAATACAATTCATTTCAAGGTGCCTTTAGCGTACTGCATATTATGTATAAACATGAATAAAACAACTAATCTTGATTCATCTTACAGAAACTCCAGCTCATACTGAAGAGCAGACCTGCAATACATGCCATGTTGTTAGGAAGCTTGAAGACTTTTGTCGCCCTCGTGGTGATGATTCTATAAAGAAGTTCGCAATCTGCAATCAATGTTCTGAAAGACGTAAAAATAAACATCAAGAAACTGATATAATATTCAGAAAGAAAGCAAAATTAGACACTTTTGTTCCTAATACAGATGTTACACTTTGTGATGCTAACATGAGTACCTCACATGTTGACAGCAGCTTAAAAGAGCCAATATTATTGGAAGATATCAATTTTCTTGAAGATTTAACTCCAGAAACACAAGCAGCAAAGAATGGTGGACAAAGTGACATTGATACTAATGAGCTTTTGTACAGCATAGATGAAGTACAAAAACTTGTTGCAAGGCTTTTTCAAGAAGTGGAGCAAAACAATGAATCCTCCAGGATAGCCTTCGAAATCGAGTTAGATCCAAAATTAATCGATATTGTTTCTTTGAATCAACTCAATTCGCAATTTGATATACTTGACTTAAAAGAAATTAAGGAACAGTTTCATCAACTTGCCAATATTCTTATTCTCCCAATCGAATCTGGATCTGGATACTACTGGGAGATGCACAGACTGTACTTGAACACTAGCAAAAAAAGGCTTACAGGCTGTGCCACAGTATATTTTACATGTGCTCAACGAGAAGACCGTTCATGGCAGAGACCAGATAATCAGCCAGCAAAATGACATAGTGAAACTCATGCTCCCATTAAAAGATATACCTGTAAAGGTGCAATCACGCTCACCATTAATCCACAGCAGCAGCATGCACTCATTCAAGGTGATCATCTGCAAGCACATGAGCATCCACAGCATCGGCAAGTTGAATTTCCAGAAGCAGCAAGAGATTGGATTCGGAACAACATTTTCCTCAACTTACGGAACCCAGAGATGTACCAACGACTTCGTAACCTTCAGCTCATTAATGCTCAGTTACATACAAAAGAGCAAGTATATTTTTGGATATCAGTATTTAGCAGACAAACACTTATTATGGATTTAGAAAATCAGCTTTTGTCCGCAAAACTATACCTTGAACAGCCTAAATTCATGTCCAAAGGATTCAAAGTTGTATGCTATCTTGAAAATAACTTTGTGCGAACTTTGGGATTTATAATACCATTATTCAATCGTATTGGTACTTCAAATATTAATAAGATTGTTGTAGATTCAACATTCAAAACAAACCAAGAACGGTTTGAATTGTTTGTTGTAAATGCAAACTGTGGCGACTATGGTATGCCAGTTGCGTACTTTTATCTCTTGACATCTAATAACGCCGAGATCACACATCATAATTCAAGGAACGACATCAAAACGCGGGTGCAAGTTCTGTGTGATTTTTTCACTAGCCTACGGTGAGAAGGACTGCTACCTGCATTTGTTTTGGTTGATAAAGATGCTGGAGAAATTGCAGCAATAAGTGAAGCGTGGTTATGGACGTCCAATATCCAGCTGTGTTACTGGCATCTGGAACATGCTATTAATAAAAGACTTAAAGATAAAAAATCAAAAGCAAACACATATACTACAACAAAGACTTCTGATGCTCATAAGAAGTTTGAATTCATTGATCCGTTGTGGGTTCCAATGAGCAATGCGGGAATTTTCTGTTCAAAACATGTTGTCAAAGATTTATTAAATATAATCAAATGACATGCAAACATGTATCCGTTAATACCAATAGCAAAGAACACTTTCTTGAACTCTGAAGAGATTTACCATTTTTGTATTCAAGAAGCTTACCGGTTTTGTTATAGCAATAATCTTGTTAGGTTGTGGGGATACTTGTGGTCATACTGGTACAATAACAAAGACTGGAGACTTTTTGCACGATCAGCCTATCCTGTAGCAATACCATTGACACAGATGATTATGATAACAGAAAGCCATTGGCGTGTTTTAAAATATGACTACAAATATAACTACAATAGACCACGTCTTGATCAGCTTACTCAAATTCTAGCAGAACAGTTGATATCTGACTGTGAGCTGAAACTAGTTCAATATAATAGAAATCGAGGTTTTCCATCATGGTGGAAAGCTTTCAAAAAAGACTGGACCAACACTGCAGCTGCAGATATTCAGCCTGAAATGGAGGAAAGATACCAAATTGATGTGAATAACTGGGTATGCTCTTGCAAAGCATATCTTCACAGCACCTATTTTCTATGTAAACATCTTGTTTTTAAGAAGGATGGCAAAAAGTTCTTGCCTATCTTTATGGAGACAGTACGGCGACATGATTATTCTTTGCTTGTCTTCGGAACTAATATGCCATCAGCAATTCTTCAAGACAATCATCCTTGGAGAAAATATTCATTAATTACGGAAGAGAATTCCCTTCAAGAAGGAAGCTCCAGTTTGGATCTTTTACCGCATGCATCCGAAATTACAAGGAACGAGATAATGGAAGAAAGACGTGGAGAGCTTGCGAAATGGAAAAGGTTGATGAAATAGGGATTTTCACTCTATAAAAGGGAGTTGGATAATGATAATTTCGTAAAAAACTTTCATAGTTTGATGAAACCAATTGTGAAAGAAATTGAAGAATGTGACGAGACATTACATGTGCGTAGACAACAAAAAACTATGCAAAATGGTGGAAAATTAGCCTTCTGGTTGCGTTAATTATAAACAAATCTTTTTGCTTTTAGATTAACTAAACACATCAATAATAAAATATAACTTATTTACTTAGTTGATATTTTTTGATGACTTGAAATTTGAAATTATATGCTCATATACAACAAGATTGATATTATTATGTTGCTCTCAATTTAGGCTTTACTGTTCCACTCAATTCTACATGAAGCAGCAAGAAAGAGGTATCCTTCCGTGAAGTCCAAGTTCATAATTGCAAATTTTCTTCTAGGTTTTTTTTTTGAAAGCAACTAAACGCTTTTTCTAAACCATGGAACAAAAAATGCTGAACCTTTGGAAAATGATGCCACATAAACTTAACCAATTCTTCACGTTTGCTCTTATGGCAAGCTAGAACACTCGCGGTCCCTTACAGTTGACACATGCCCACCTAAATATATCAAGGGATTCACATTCACACACCCTTTTCGTTGTAATCCCAGCTCCAAAAACACAGTACAAACGAAGTGAGAAACAGTCAAATTACGAATAATTACTCTTAGACAGGCGTCAAAGACCGTGATAGAAGCATTCAATCAGCCACAAGATAGTTGTGATCACCAAGTTTTTCGTCATCATCGAGCATCACCCCGAAAATTCTGGAGGAAAATTTATTGTCATATCTCCTAAGAGGCTCACTGACGAATTCGCCGACGATTGCTACCCAGCCTGTACAGCCTTTTTTTTAAGAGTAACTACAGTCAAACCTCGTTATAGTGAAGGTGTTCG